GTCTTTCTTAAAAAAGGATGTGCCTGAAATAAATTATAATAGGGTTTTATTCTAGCTTACTGCCTTGTGTAAAGTCTACTAATCATGGTTTGTAAAGTATGGCTTAAGGTTTACTATAATGCATGAACAGATCCAATTTTTGTTTAATCAACAAGCCAGAATGTATTGGTCTGGGAAGCCTGGGAAGGAGGAAGCTTTTTCAAAAAATGAAGTACAACATCAGCATATGAGGAGAATCCTCCCTTATCTGGTATATGTTGGCTATAGCTCCTGCTCATCCAGGGATAGTTACCATAAGAATGATAAAGGCTCTGCCCTAAGGATAAATGGGGCCCTAAAAGAGAATTTATTTCATTGCTGAAACTTATGTGACATGATCAACGAGCAGTCCTCAATGGCACTACATCCACATGGAAAGAAGTAAGCAGTGGGGTACCACAATATCTGTCTTAGGCCCAGTACTCTTCAATATCTTCATCAACGACTTAGATGAGAGAATAGAAGGGGAACTTATCAAATTCACAGATGACACCAAACTAGCAGGAGTAGCCAACACCCCAGAAGACAAACACAGGATCCAAAAAGATCACGACAGACTTGAACAATGGGCCCTATCCAACAAAATGAATTTCAATGTGGAGAAAAGCAAAGTTTTACATTTAGGCAGGAAAAATCAAAGGTACAAGTATAGACTGGGCGAGACCTGGCTCAAAAACAGTGACTGTGAGAGGGACCTTGGAGTCCTAGTGGACTATCACTTGTCTATGAGCCAGCAGTGTGCAGCAGCAACCAAAAAAGCTATCAAAATCCTGGGTTGTATAAACAGAGGCATAGAATCAAGATCACGACAAGTACGTACTATTACTGCTTTTTAAAACCCTAGTAAGACCACACCTAGAATACTGCAGCCAATTTTGGTCACCAAAACATTAACAAAAGAAATGGAAAGAAATCACTGTCTTGTTTTGTGTTGGGCATATACAAAACCTATTCTATATGCCTTGAGAGACAGAATATATTCCCGGGGAGAGGAAAAAAAGGCAAACATGTTGTGCTCTGCAAGGTACATTGAAATATCCATGACTCTATTTCTGATGACAAAATACTGATTTGCATGCAGACATCATGATCTACCAAAATGCTTCATGTAGGGACAAATCTGAAGCTGAAATCTCATTAGTTCAATTTTCTTGTCTCCTTCTGATAAACTTCAGAAATGTTCTTATACTCTTAACCAAAAATACCGCTTCCTAAGACTGTTTGATGTGAAATGATAAGGCGTAGGAATCTGATCTGATGGGGATAGTGATTTTTGCTGTTGCTGATAAGTAACTTAAAGACAGTATCCATTGTAGAGATTGCAGTTAATTGTCCAAGCAGTAACTTTTGTTTAAAATTCTTTCTGGCACATAGTAATAATGCCAAGTTCAAAGACAGTCCCAACATGTTGCTTAATCTGACTGGCGTGCCATGGACTACACTCCATAAAGTAGGCAAGGCAAGGGGAAAAATACTTTTATTTGATTTTACACTTGAATTAAAGTAAAAACAATTGACATGGATTTTGTGCCAAACAATTATTCATTCCTTTTTTTCTCTTCAAAAATAATAATTTGATGGTCCTTGATGATAATTCCAATCATCTTGAAGTTACTGATTCATCTGACACTACAAAATATTGTCATCTAAAAAGCCTTGGCTATTTGACAGGCTGTCTTTCTATAAAGACATGGTTTCTATCTGTCCCATAAGGCCCAATACAGTTGACACGCATTGGGGCCCGGGTTTGAGAACCAAGCTCTGCGTAACGGAGCGAGCTCCTGTTATTTGCCCCACCTCCTGCCCACCTAGCAGTTTGAAAGCATGTAAATGCAAGTAGGTTAATAGGTACCACTTCAATGGAAAAGCATCAGCGTTCTGTGCACCTTTGGCGTATATTCATGCTGGCCATATGACCATGAAAATTCTCTTTGGACATCACTGGCTCCCTCGGTCAAGAAACAGAGATGAGCACCATGCCCTACAGCAGTGGTTCTCAACCTTTTTAATGCCGCGACCCCAACCGGTCGTAAGTCGAGGACTAAACCGGTCATAAGTCAAGGACTACCCAACCAGTCGTAAGTCGAGGACTTTCCCTGCCTGGGAGCACCGCGCATGCGTGGTTCCGCCCCCTGTGCCGGCCGAGGCGTAGCTGGCAAGCGGCAGAGACGGAGCAGGCCGACCACCAGCTGGCCCAGCCCAAGGGAGGTAAGGCACCCGCCGGAAAAGGGGGGAAAAATGGCGGACAAAAAAAATGGCAGACAGCCTTGCTTGGCGACCCCCATGAAATGGTCGATCGACCCCAAATGGGGTCCCATCCCACAGGTTGAGAACCACTGCCCTACAGTCAGACACGCCTGACAGGGAAATCTTTACCTTTTGCTTAGGGAAAGCTTGGCTAGGATATTACACTATCTTCATCTTCATCACGAAACTAACTCACAAACCTATTTTATAACCATGGCTATCCTAGAACAAAGTTCCCCAACCTTTGCAGACCGGTGGGGGAGAGCGGGGAGAGGGGATGATTCCATGTGCACACTTGCTCACTACTCATGTGAGTGCGAATGCATGTGCAAGAGCACTCGTCCACCACTTCCACAGCCCAGTTCTAAAAGACTGAAGGCCCAGTAGTGGGCCACAGCCTGGGAGTTGGGGACCCGTCCTAGGACACATGAACTGAGAAGAGTGGGAGTACTGATGTTGTAGTCAAGATGAAATTTCCAACCTGCTGCCTTCTAGTCCATACCTAGAATATTACGCCCAGTTCCAACTCCACAGCTCAGAATGAATATTAACAAACCTGAATGTGTCCACAGGTGAATAACCAAGAGGATAAGAGACTTGGAAGGAAAAAATTATGAGAAATGATTGAAATTGTTGAGTATATTGTGGAAAGACATGGCAGATGTCTTCAGATGTCTGATGATCTGCCATGCAGATTACGATCAGAACATTTCAAGAAGATTTGACAATGGATTTAAATTATAAGGATTTCAACTGGAAATCAGAAACTATTTTTCTAATATTAACAACTGTTCAATAAAAGGACCACTTGCCTTGGAAGACAATGGACTCTCCTTCACTGCTTAGTAGTGGTCAGGGGGTTGGACCAAATGATGTTCAACTCCCTTCCAACCCTTATATTTCAAGACTCTATTCGCTATGCTGACTGGGGATTATGAGAGCTTTAATCCAAAACTTTTGCTAGGGGAGTAGTTAGGAGTTCTAAATAAGCTTCTTTAATAGAATGCAGGCTCCTTTGTGTTAATACTACCTTAGAAGTCTACATAAGCTTAAATAGTTGGGCACGGTAATCTGCATTTCTAGTATATTTATATTCCAGTAATTTTTAAGAAATTCAGAAATCTACTTACCTCACATTGAATATTTTGTGTATTTTGACTTTGTAATTTAAGATAGTTGTCCAAATCATAAACCTCAAAAATAGATGGGCGAACTATGCTTGAACACTGGTAACTGAGCAAGCATTCTTCCACGGTTGGATGATAAAGCACCAATTCCTATGCCATATGCAATCTTCAGGGCTACTTTCACTTTAAATATGTGATTTTTGTCATCAAGCTTGGAGATCTGGATGCAACGTAAAGCCCATGCAGTTGTTGTATTAATGTAATGTTGTAGGGGGTTTTTTGTGTGTTTTTTTTAACCTCAGCTACTGATTGTATTTATGCAGTTTTTTATACCGTTTTATGTTTTTCTATAGTTTTTAATTGTTACATGCCCAGAGTCACGAATTTATATGGGGAATCATATAAACTGAAATAATAAATAAGTAAATAATCTAATGCCAAACTTGTCTAATGTTATTTAATACATTTATTTAATGCCAAATTTGCCTCAAGTTTAATGCCAAACTTGCCTAATGTTTCACAATGTGAAATAACAATATGACCCTACTCTGATTAGACATCCTTACTCACCTGGCTTCAGAGCAGCCCTGGCATGTATACCCAGCAGAATCTGGCAGTAAGAAAAGTTGTCCTTTGGGTCCTACAGAATGACTCGCTTTTACTTCTTCTCTTCACACCTTTTGAATTAAAGTGATTGCATCTTCTTGCCAGCACAGTGAAGGATTGCTTAAAGATAGATTTTAAAATTCATCTGAAGTGCACCTGCTGCATCGTTCTGATGACCAGGAATTAGGGGACAGTATTAATTATGAATACATGTAGATGGCTTCTTTCTCTTTGGTCACTTGTAATCCTGGATTCAGGGTCAGGAAAGGATAGCAAGGACAACACCCAATGTCCTAACCCACACAAGATCATACGATATCTTTAAGTAACACTCAAATGAGAACATGTTTAACTAATTCTGCTTTCTCCCTTCTTATCTACAGTATGCCAGACTTACTGGGTGCAATCTTTATCTTATGTGTGTCAGCTTTGCTGGATGGGTTGCTTATGTAATTATACAGAATAAATACGAGGATTTCTTGTCATTCAGGGCTCCTCTCATTTTAGAGGGGTCCGTCTCTATTCAGCTGAATAAACACGTAAAACTTAAAAGGCACTTTCTGCTTTCCTGTATTTCTTTAACCAGCAAAACCTCAGAACCTGCATATCAATTCCTGCTATCAATATTACACAATGTTACTGAGAACATGTTCATAAAAGAACATTTGTTAAGCTTTTATCAGTCTGCCATGACAGCTTGGCAGAAAAAGCAAGGTTAGGATTAGTTACATGAGGAATATTTAATTATGTTTTATAGGACTGATAGGCCACTCCAATTACAACCAACTGAGGATAGGGGACTGTCTCAACTCCATATTCCTTTCTATCTGCAGTGAATTCTGAGACAGTTTTGTGTATGAGGAAAAATCATGTGGCATAAACTTTCTGAGACTGTACCAGTTTGGAATACAAATGGGAGTTTAGGTTGTTTACAAAAATATCTCAATTTTTCTCAGGTGAAAAAGAAATGCAACATGTTCCCCTCACTTTTAATGTGATAATATTCCATCAGCCAATGTTTTACATTCATGGCAAAGTTCCAGTAATATTCCACAGCCAGATTTTTTTTAAAAGGTACAGTTATTATATGAGTTGATGTTCTGCAATAGCACACATGGTTCTGCAAGCATCTAAAAAAATTAAACAGTATGTAAAGGCTAATCTGTGAATAATAAAAAGCAGCTGAATTGTTTACAGTCTTAAGGTTTTCCCAGAAAAAGAAACTCCTTGCTTATTTGCCTCTTCTATGCTCTGGCTTCAAGCCACCCATCCCGAGTTGTGCTATGGAGCAGTTCTCAAAGGAAGAGAATGAGAAGGGTGGAAATTAAGCTTGATAGATTTCAAATAAAGCTTTATTCTGGAACCAAATGATTTGAAGTTATGGTATGGAAAACTGTGTGTCAAGTTGTTTCAAACTTAGAAATAAAAAATTGGAACAAACATTTCTAGAAATCCCAAAGGCCAAGAGGCTCTAATTAGCTGCTTCTGCCTTCTGTCAATCTGTACCCTGAGTTTGTTAAATAGTTAAAGAGCAATGTAAAGAAAGGCCTTAAATATTCACTTACTTGCTCACCATCGATATACAAATTTACAGCACTGTCCTTCCAGTATGGGGCCAGTGTACTGACAAAAGTAAAGTGCGCTAAACTTTTGTAAAGCTCTTCTACAGAATTTTCTTTAACTGTACATTTACAGTAGACAATCACAGACAGTACCACCCATGGTTCTAATTATCCCAATGTATTTGGGATAATTGCTGCCTGAACAGGTGTTATAATTTCAAAAAACTAAAAAAAAATGGCATTAGAGATGATCTTGCATTCCAGCACATGACACAACTTCATACTGGACAAAGGAGTCACTTGACAACAACCTTACCAAGTTGTACATGGCATGTGTGTATAAGACTGTCTGCCTTAAAATTAAAGTTGGAGATGTCAGCAGAAGTGCAGACACACCCAACAGTCTGCTACAGCAACTCCTGCTCATCATCTTCTGATCCAGAAGGTCCTTGTCGTACCTCCTCATACCATTTGTTGGTGAGGCTTTTCATCTGTATGCGCCCATGATGTAGGTCCTACGTAAAGGGAAGGTGCATTAGAAAGTTAGAAATGCACTTCTCCACCTCCCTGTGTATAAGGCAATACAACTTCAATTCTGCAGTACATATGAAATTAAACAGATCTGATATGCTAGGTTTAAAGGAAGAAAAAAATGCTACAAGACAGTACTATGATAGCATTAACATAGAGAGATGATGAAGAGTTCCACTGAAAAATCTCAGGTCTTTCTCCCTCCATGTATATATTTCGAAAGCAGTAAGCCACAGAGAGAGAGAGAGAGACAAAAATAAAATTTGGAAATTTCAAGTGATAAGATACATCATTCAGAAGTTTGTGGCTCTTCACACTGTTTACTTGGTTTCCTAAAATGCATGAACAATGTTTTGTCCTTTTGTTACAGCAATGTTACTTGCGTACACTCCCTGCAAGGTAGCTTAATGGGATACGAACAAAGCACATGGTTTGCTCCATACGCAGACCACATACATGTTGTGGCTCAGAAATCTGGTCAGATTGCTTCCAGGTGGGTCAAGATGCAGCTGAAGAAAAACATTTAGACTATTCCAGATTTCAACTGAAGGGGATCCACAATGGACAAGTAAGGCAAGGCTGATGCACCTCTCTCCCCTCCCTTCATATGGTCTCACCATCAGTTTTCTCAGACCTGCCCCCAACCTTGTGAGCTACCACTACACTCAAATTCAAGTACAGCATGAGTACCACTACAGCAATTCAAGATCAACTTGGCCAACCTGTTTTTCCCCCACATCTTCCTTCTCCATTGCCCTTCCTTGCCATCATGAAATTGCCACCTGCTAACACCCATCCACCTAGTATACCTAACTCAATCACTTTACCTCTTCTGTCACTGCTTGCCTTGCTTCCCTGCTGCCATTCACATTCACCTGCCAAGCTTCCGTGCAACCAAATGCTTTTTTACCTGTTGTCTCCTATTCCAAGCTCTCTCTATTGAAATCTGTGCGGTCTAGGTCTGTGCACAGATGAAACATGCAGTCTAGTCCCAATACTGACTGGCCCCTGGAATGTTTCATACATCTCAATGGCCTTAAGATGCCTAACTCAGAATCAGACTGAAACACTATCATCTCCTGTAATAAGGCATTATATGGCCACACAGAGTGTTTCAATCATTTCTTTACACATGCCAAAAAACAACAACCCCACATTAAGTAGAATTTATAAATAATCACAGTGGCCTTTGTAGCAGAAAACTATGGTTACGTGTTTCAACATCAATCCTAGATGTTATATGGCTGTCTATTCTGGTGGAAATAATTCACCATAATTTCTTGATTCCCATGAACAAGAAAGTTATATCTGCATGGATTTACATTGTGCTAAACCAGTGTGGTTGTTTTTGATTTAATGTGAATGGGGGAGAGGTCTAGGATTGTTTCAGGGCAGTGACCTTTAGCCTATTTTTGGTTTAGATTGCAACTGTACTTTAAGGTGACATGTGAATAGAAATACGCATTCTGTTATTCCTGTTGGGTTTTTTTTAGTGTTTTGCTCCCTTCTCAAGTCTCCCAATCAATTAAAAAGCACAAATCAAGAAGAGCTCAAGGGAAGGAAAATATGCCAGAAATTTGTCAACAGGCTATGATTACTCTGTTTATCTGCAACACTGACTCTGATTTGATTCTAATTTTGTTCAGCAAACTATGCTTAGAACAACTCACGGCTGAAGTTGCCTGAACTCTATTCAGTTAAATGAGGTTTCTATAAAGAGACAGTCAAAATGTTAGTACAGGAAGCTTATTCATATGTCGGGTTATTTTAATACAAATAGCAGTCACTGTATTCTTGGATATCAAATTAGATTGAAAGTCAATCTGCTATAGGATTTGTTTAGGCTGAACCTACCTCTTGGGTGAGCCGTCTGGTAAAGAAAGGATTCAAATATCTGACATCAAGCCACATAAAGCCTTTCAGATCCTGCCGCTTTATATAATGAGCTTCATACTCTTCCTCTGTGAGTTCAGACAAGTGTTCAGATTCAATGGTGTTTCCCTGAGAGGAGATGATTATAATAAAAAAAACAATAGTTTTTTATCTACTCTGTGTTTACACGCAATTCAACAAAAGCGTCAATAACTTTATAGTTACAATGGAAAAATTAAGAAAGTCACTACAGACATATTCAAAAATTAAAGATCATATAAAAGAAGAAAGAAATCTTGACTTGCATTCAGCCATTTCAAGAGCCGATTTCTGACTGCCGCAGACTTTAGATTTGTGCTGTTTTATAACTTTGGCAGTTCGCACTGCACCAAATGTGACAGAAAAGAAAGCAGCAAAAGAACCTGCTAGGAACCAGTATTTTATTAGTCAGGTTATTATCACAAAAATGGCTTGTCTGTTTTGTGATTTTACCTTCCAGCTGCCTTTTACCTGATCTGAATTTATACCAGTCACCTCAAAACAAAGGGTGGTTGAGAAAAACGCTAGGAGGAAAAGTCCACATTGCAAAATGACCAACGCTGCACATTTTACAACTGCATTGCAGCACAAAGTAAAAAAAATGGAAGTGAGCACAGAGCCTAGCAAGTACATCTTTTCCAAAATGACTCCAATCTTCTTCTGACAAGCACATGTGAGGTCCTAAGTGATGGGGATTTAAATATTTAAAGGGTCTGGCTGGAATTACATCTGAGGATTCCAGCACATATACCCATTAATATGTAGAAACACTTAAGTGCACCTTATACAGATTGACATGCTTTCATATTACAGTATCAGAGTAACCCATGATTAATTTAATTGGGATTTACTAAAAGACAATACCTCACTAAGTGTGACAAATCCTACTTTTGGCGTGGCATCACAGAGCTCCATCTGATCGACTGCTAAGAGGACTGAAGAAATAGAATTCAGCTCCTCGTTTTTCCAATCTCTACTATACAACCTCATATATAAAACTAATCCCATCCAGAGTCATTAGGAAAATGGGTTTAGACCAGCGGTTCTCAACCTGTGGGTCGCGACCCCATTTGGGGTCGCACGACCATTTCACAGGGGTCGCCAAACAACGCCGTCCGCCATTTTTTTTTACCCTTTTCCTTAGCTGTGCTACTCCCTCTGCTTGGCGGCAGCCTGCATGCAGGAACTTTACCAAACATGCCCTGCAGGAGGCGTGTGAAGAGCGCAGGCG